TTTTTTTTTTTTTTTTTTTTTTTTTTTTTTTTTTTTTTTTTTTTTTTTTTTTTTTTTTTTTTGACAATCACTATGAGATCAGAGCAATATTTCCATATTTTCCCCCCCATAATTTATGCTAATTTTATGCTTCCATATTCTTATACCAATGATTATTCTAGAAAAATCTTAACAAAAATGTAAAGAATTTTTTAATATACTAATAAATGTTTTGTAATATTTATGTGGAGACCACCATTTCTCTCATTATTTTTATCTTCGTTCGGTTTATCCTACGCTTTCGAGTCATACCACAAACAAACATCCATTATCCCAATATTTAGGATGTTTTATAATTTTATTTTATAGAAACTATATTGAAAAATAGAAATTATAATTAAAGAGTTTTCTTTTTTTAATGAATAGATTTTAAAAAATGTATATTAAATTCTTAATTGTTAAGAAATATAAAAAGTTTTAGAGAGATAAAACTAGAACCAAAGTTAATTTCCTGTTGAAATATGAGGTAAGGATAAATATGAGTTTCCGACCTCGACCTGCTCTATAGTCAAATTGAAATAGGAGGCAAGGATAAAGATGAGCTTCCTGTCTCCGACCTCGACCTGCTGACAAAAATGAGCTTCTCATCCCGTCTCCGATCTCTGCCCCATCGGAGAGGGCTAAGCTAAAGAGGAGGGGAAAAAGAAAATAGGAGTTGAGACTAAATAAAGTAAAAATGATTTCCAACATACACCCACTAACTCTTTGCATCATTACTACCCTTGACCACCAAAATTAAGATGATTAGACTTCTTTGACCACCAAAATTAACATGGCGAGTCTAATCACTCCAAGGCTTCACCGAAGGTACCCCTAATATTCTCCTCCCATGTCAGGGTCCGGTCTATGCATTGAATTTTAATCTTTACCAACAACGAATGATCTCCACTTAGTTTCTTTCATGTTCAATCAAATCTTTTAGTGGGTATGCAAGCGAATTCTATTCGAAGATCCAAATGTTGCCCAATTTTGTTCTTCGATCATCCTGTGCTCTGAACATTTCCATTGAAAATTTTGTACAACAGGGCTTCCTTTTGCGCCAGAGTTGGATCATATTGATCAGCCCATCTTATGAGCTTACTGTTATCTTTCCATTTTCTTCCTTTACAATCGACTACTCTTCACTTGCAATCTAGGGCGATCGGTATTCTCTTATGGGTCGTTTTGATTTTCCTGTATCAAAACGGGAAAGTTGAGAATAAGAAGAGATTGTTGGGAATGAATTTCAAATGCTTTGAATGAAGTATGGCTGTGTTTCGTATGCGAGAATTTTTAGCTTTGTCAATATAATTTGCATAGATCGGAATACGATTGTTAGGGATGATATAGTCGGAAGTTGTGTGTTCAAATCTTTGATATCTCCAGAATTTGAAGAAATAGAATGCTTGGTCCCATGCTTGCATATCAAAAAATCCTAAATATGCAGATGAAAACTAGATTATAGAGGGATGGCTTTCGTTGTTTTTTTAAAGAAAATCAGCTTCATTGCATATGTATATATACAGATGAATGCATAAGAAATGGGTAGAACAGGACTGTCCCAATTATATTATTGGGGACAAGCAACTGGGCATTGGTTTAAAGTTTCTGATTCCACATGATATTTAGGTGTTTGTTTGTTCTATTTTTCTGATAATTGATGAGATCCCTAGCAACATAATGTGGTTTCTCATTAATTTACAGTTTTTCAAGGAACTTGTTATTTGTTGCTTATTCAGATTCAACTGTCATAAGAAGGAAATCCCCTTTTGGAATATCCTCTGGCCAGGAGCAAGAATTGCCAAAGGATCATACTTAGATTTCCTCTGCAAGACAGTTTGCCACTTAGGGCCAAAGTGAGCTCGCCATTCTTCTTGGGAGCTGTAGTGGGGGAGGTATTGCTTGACACCAGGGAGGTACTCAATACAGTAATCCAAAATTCTTTGATTTTGTGCTAAAATGTGTTCTAACCCATCTGTTCGTATGGAAGATGGAACTGCAGAAGATAAGAAAGCCACTAAGTAGAAAACTTCCTCTTCTGGAGTGGCCAAAGATGTTTTGTTGTTCCATCTGAACCAATGAAAAGTAAAGAAGAATGAGACTGAGAACATGATAAAAAGAAAGTTTTCATATATGAATTAAGTTATGAGGCAATTACTTGGATTTGTTAACTGGGTAGATTATGATGGGGCCATTGCTAGTATCCTTGAGGATGTTACCAAAGACCTCTTGAGCAAAATCGTGTATTTGGGTTCTAGGGATCAGTAGATTTAGCCATGGATGAGGAATTTCCCATAAGCCTTTAGCTCGTAGCTTGTTTTCGGAGACGTGGACACGGTCCAGGAAAGCCAGGTAAGTAACTTCTGATGTGAAGAGGGTGGATGGAATATAGTTCAATCCTGTCAATAAGCTTTCAACTTTCTGCATTAGAAGAAAAATAAGTTAGCAAGCAGTGTTTTATGGGCTGTTTTTGTTTTTAGATGGCAAAACTCCTCACCTTGTTTATAAAGTCAAGTTCATCTGGGTTGAAGTACTTTGCTATTTCCAAGCAGTAGAAAACTTTTCCATCTGAATTGAATTTGCTGGCTTGCAGTGGTTCTTGGGGATTAAAAGAAGATCTCCAGTTATTGAGGAGACCAGTTCTATTAATAAATACAAATCCTTCAATATAATCAAATTGATCATTGGATGATATTAGATGTTCTTGGTCTCTTGTAAATTTGGAGAAGTCTGAGTAAAGTACTCTTATCCATTTTACCTGTCAAAAGTGACGGATTGTGTTTCATAATTTGTGTACCTCGCTTTAATGAAATGGATGGAATATGGCCTTACCATTTTTGGTGCCTTTTCCAAAGAAATCCTTGCCCTTGTTATGATGCCAAACTGTCCAAGCCCGCCAAGAACAGCATGGAAAAGGTCTGCATTTTGATTCTCTGAACAGGCAAACACCTCCCCTTTTCCTGCAAAAGTTCAGACATCTTTAAGGAAATTCCAAACCTTGAAATGCGTTTAGTTGAAGCAAACACTCATGAAACATTTTATTAAGAACAATGAGTTGAGAAAACTAGAACATTACCAGGAAAGAAATAGTTGCTTCTTTGTGAAATGACTAGCAATGTTACATGAAAATTACCTGTGACAACTTCGAGCTGATATACGTTGCTGATTTGGGGTCCATGCCGGAAGGCCTGCCCACTAATGCCAGCATTTGACAAGGTGCCTCCAACAGTAAGATGCAGGTAATCTGTCCAGGATTTTGGTGCCAGCCCTTGTTTAAGAGTTTCATGCAGGATATTTATCCACAGCTCTCCAGCTGAAACGTCCACATAAGGTAATTCCCCTGCATTTATTTTCATTTCTAGCCCCTGAAATGATTCCATATTGATAACTACACCATTATAGGCTTGAGCTTGACCTTGGATGGAATGTCCATGGCCTCTAGCTGCAACCGTCAAGTCAGACGCATATCCCATGCTGAAAATATGGTTTATCGTGTTCGAAATATCGGAGACGGATTTTGGATGTAAGACAGCTAATGGGTATAAATTGTATCTGTTTCCAAAATCGGTTGCTGCTTTATGATTATTGTCAAAGCTGAGGTATCCATCCAATTCCAGTGTTTGCAGTTCATAAGAGGATATATCAGAGGAACCAAAATGGGGAGGAATTGTTGGGGCTGCAAAAAGGTGGTTGGTGCTGTCAGGTATGCAACTGATGTATAGAATTATGTATAACTTGAGGAAAATAATGCTTTGTTTGATGAAGCCAGAAGGCGGCAACCCCATCTTTCCTTAAGGAGAGAAAGAAAGAGTGATAAAAAGAATAAGAGGGAGAGAGAGAGAGAGAGAGCAAAAGGAGAGGTGCTGAAAAGCCTAAGGAATGAAGTGGAATGAAAGAGAATTTAAAGAAGTTCTTGGGTGGCATAGTCAAACATATAGTTGGTGGCATTGGGCGAGCTAGCTACCTGTAGTTCTTTTGGTTCACCTTTTTGAGGTTAAAAAAAAAACAGAGGAGATAAAAAAACTGCCCAAAAGCAAAAGCAAAAACATAAATATTTCCTTTTCCTTTTTCTTTTCTCGATTGACACTTTCTGAAGAACAGTTCTCAACCAAATTTTAGTGAAAGAAAACAAAAATCACCTTGACCATTAATTGAGGAAGGTGCAGAGTGGTGTTGTTTACTGCATGAAGCAAAGATTTTATGTTTCTCCTTATTCCAATCTTGTCAAAATTCACTGTTCGTCTTCTTTACACACTGAATGCGGCTGCAAAACCACTGTAATTGGCTGAATTTTCACTTTTTGTCTGCTGTTCATATATGGTACAGTTTGAATTTAATTTCTCTATTGCAGAGTGAATGGCGGGCTGGCCCCTACTCTGTTTCATGCTTCTTCAAGCTGAGTGTCTGAGGAGTCAGATATCTTGGACCCACTTCATTTTTTTCTTCACAAGAGTATATATTGTGCTTTGACAGCTCTTACCAACGAGCTATATAGTTCTTTCTATATAATTTTCATGAATTTCTTACATGTTCATATTTAGCTTTGTATATGATCATATTGAGGAGGTCTGTCGATTTTTATCGTTATGGTATAGATATGAGATCAAACCATCAAAAGCTTAAAAGGGTAAGCACAATCTAGATTACTTACTACAAATTTTGGTCGAAACCATCGTAAGGGGCTCTCGATGCCGATCTTTGTAAGGTCAAAGACTCAGTACATATGCACGTGAACTAGCTCAATAGTAGTTCTTAGAAAAAGTAAATAGAATAAGCATGATAGCTATGTTGAAGGTAGACAAATAAACATATTTCAAAGGGGAAATAAAAATCGAATGTAGAAACCGTCGATTCTTTTACGTCTGTTCTTAAATCTCTTCATTCACTGTGTTCTTGATTATAAATTTCAAAAGGTTATTCAAACAGTGATGGTCAATGTTTTGTTATTCTCTCAATTGCATTGAACTGCACCTAGATTTTGATGTATGTTTTTCTTTGATTCAGGGACTAAAAGTTGTTTTTTTCCCTTTCTAGGTGCTGAAGAAGAAGTGTCAGAAAAGGAAAGATGAAAGATATATGTAGATGGAATGAGTTCAGAGAAGCAGCAGCAAAGAAAGCTCAATTTACTGCATGTATAATTCCTTAGCTTTTTTGTGGACTTAAAAAGGTATGTGGCTTCATCATCAAACTTCTAATGGAGGGTAAGAGAGAGAGAGAGAAGATTGGGAAGGGGTGGGGCCATAGACATGTGATCTGCATAAGGAGGGTAGTGGCCCAAGAAAAGGAAGGGATTGAAAAGAGGAGGAGGAGGCTTAGATAAAGAATGTTGAGGGTATGTTAATATCAAGATTATAAAATTCATTCATTGTTTGATTGGATAGCATTGATTCTAATTTCAGTATCACTTGCCCCAATATTCTCTTTGTTATTATTATTATTCCTTTGTTTGAAAGTTGAAGACCGGCCCATGAGAGTGGTTGAGTTGTTGGAGGGAGAACGCCTATCGTTTGCTTTGGTCCGTTATGTATTATCGTCAGTCTTATGGTTTTAAAACGTATTTGTTAGGGAGAGGGTTCTATTCCCTTATAACTTGGAGAGCGAAACATTCTTTATAAGGGTGGGAAAACCTCTCTGTAACATACGCGTTTTGAAACTGTGAGGTTGATGGTGATATGTAACGGGCTAAAGTGGACAATACTTGCTAGCAGTGAGTTTGGGCTATTACAAATGGTGTTTGAGTCAGGTTACCGAACGGTGCGAGATACGGGTCAGAGTAGGGCTAGACCCTCTCCATAGTAGATGCGTTTTAAAACCTTGAGGGGAAGCTCAAAAGGAAAAACTTAAAGAGGACAATATCTACTGTCGGTGAACTTGAGCTGTTTGTAACCTTCACGTATTAGTACACTTTTCTTTCAAACTCATCATCTCAAAACAAGGGTAGAGAGTATATTTAAATTGTATGAGAGTTCTTTAGAAAAGTAGCTGATTCTTTTTCTCTATTTTGGATAAAATAACATTTGCAGCAGTTATCAAACATCAAAATAATGAAGAACTAGACTGTTAAAAGTCTCGTGATCATGTTCAAAACCATGAAATGTCCCGTACTTCGAAAAGTAATCAAAGGTACAACGTAACAGTATTTGATGATCGATTTTGACAAGCAATGAACGTAAGCTTTTGATCCGAAAAAAGAAAGGTAGGGAAGAATATTTGGTGCATACACATGTGAAGGCAGTCCTATATACCCAAGAATATTTGGGTGTTTGGTGTTAGCAAGTAGGGGCCTGTTTGTGTGTAGTTTGTAGAGAAAGGATATAAGAAGTTTAAGATAATATATTTATTGAACAAAAAATTGTGAAGAGAAAGTGGAAGAAACACTAAAAAAAAGGTATAAAATGTTGTTATAATAAGAATGGGTTGCATTATGTGCCCCATATCCTTCTATTTTGGATATTATTAAACACTTACCTTTTCTTTATTGGGAGACCTTATGAGCATCCCTTTGAAAATCACATGTTTTTGAGTGAATGTGTTTCTATTTTTACCTTATTAACTCACTTTGTTGTCTCAAATATTGGCATCAATAACACAATCTACTTTGATAATTTCAAACCCTAAAAACAATATTATTGATGCTTCAATGATTTTCACACTACTCTCTTCGTTCTTCGATCTATGTAGAAATGTTTATATGATTCGATGATCTGATGAATTTGGACTATACAACTAAAACCATAAAAGTCTAGTTGGGTTGAATATTTTTTCTATTTGGGATGGACTAAATCTTTTTAAATAAATTTTTTTTGTTCTGGTTGTGGGTTGTCATTGTGTTGGTTTGGTCAACCTAGCTAACCTGAAAATAGGGTTCCAACAATCCAACCCTACTATTAGGGTTGCTTGTAACTTATGTGAGTGAAGTGTTGTGAACCCTATTCGGGCTATACACCCCTAAGTTTAGGTCTGTTTGATAATAGGTAATTTTATTTTATTTTATTTTATACGTTTGATGACTTGAGTAAGATGTTATTGTATAATTCAAATCAATCATTTGTAGTTAGGTACAGGAACAAACTAAAAGAGATGATCGAGCAACAGAGTTTTGCGAGAGAGATATTCAGAAGTGAAAGCAAAAGAGATGATCAAAACGGAGAGATATTTATCGACAAGAGGAAGAACGACAATAGAACGATGAAAAATGAGATAGTGGCATCATAAAAAACATTTGAAATAGCAAAAGTGGGATGGCATGAAGAGACAAACAAAATAACCCATTGTTTGAAAACAAGAAGTAATCTACTTAATACAAACAAAGGCAACAATATAATAATCAAAAGGGCCTTGGAAATGTTTTAGATAATCTTCCACATGGCTCATTCACAACCCACCAATCATACTATCCTTCCACAATCATAATATCCTTCCATAAAAAGATTGTTCATATGATTTGGGAATCCGACCAATTCAGACGGTCTAACTCGAGCTATAAAAGTTGAGTTGGGTTAGATTTTTTTCCATTTGGGTTGGGCTGATTTTTTTTTTTTTTTTTTTGTTGGATCAACCTGACCAACTCGGAATTAGGGTTAAACTCAACTCTTCTGTACTTTGCAGATTAAGAATATTTGACATTTGTATTAACAATGCACTGTGACTAATGAACATTTGATATTTGAAGTTTATAAGACTTTTGGTCGGGTCAATCTGACCAACCTTGAAATAGGGTTAAACCCAACTCAACCCTATCCTATTTTAAAAATTATTATGAAAGAATATTTGACGTTTGTATTGACGATGCGTTGTGACTAAAGAATCTTTGATATTTGAGATTTTTAAGATTTTAGCTATTGAGGTAAATAAATATAATTTTCTAAATCATTAAAAAGGAAAAGGATAACTTGACAATCTAACCTAACCCGAAAGTAGATCGGATTGGGTTGAGTTGTGAACTCTATGGAGTTGCTCACGTCACCAACCCGACCAACCTGAAATTTTGAGTTAATCCCATGTATAATTCCTAATATATTACCGTTTCACATTTGTAGTGGAATTGGTATTAGTAATTCAAACTCTAAGTATTCCAATGACCAAGTTTTCAGGCTTTCTTAGTCATTTGAATAAATAAATTTTCACTTTGGTCGATAATAAAGTTCTTGAATGAACGAATGTTATTCAGTTGAATAGGCGTGTTCAAATGATATGATAACTCGACCAATTTGGACTACCTATGTGAGATCTCACATTGGTTGGAGTGAGGAACGAAACATTCTTATAAGAGTGTGGAAACCTTTCCCTAGTAGACGTGTTTTAAAAATTTTGAGGGAAGCCCGAAGAGAATGCCTAAAGAGGACAATATCTACTAGCGCTGGACTTGGTTATTATAAATGGTTTTAGAGCTAGGTTTCATTCCTAGGATCGGTGGGTTATGGGCCCAATCACGCCGACATGCACAGCAAAATCATCAATGCATCTTGGGTACAAATAGTCATGTTCAAGGCCTAGGGTTTAAATGGTCAAGGTCGAACAACAAACTTCGTAGAGAAGTGTTAAGACCTTGGTAACATTGGTCACGAGTCTATACTTCTCGAAAGGTCTTGGACAACTTTGGTTAGGTCTAAACATGATGTTAAGTGAAGCCGATCGGTGCAAAATTCATGTGTTAGGGGCATGCATGATGCGAAAATTCTTGTGTTGGGCAAGTCTTATCTTATTTTACTTGTCCGAGTATGTCGATGATGATGCTCCTATTATTAACTTTCGATAAGCACGTTAGGATACCTATAAACAACATGATTTTTGCTTTGTCTTATATATGAGTCTCACTAGGTATGAACTATTTACTAAATACTTTTGTATTGGCCCCTACTCCAACGAACCTATTATGTAGATAATGAAGTCTACTATGAATTTGCTGACGCGAAAGATGAAACACGACGAAATAACTCTATTAACTAGGTTCTAGTTTTTTAGTAGAAATTTACACAAACAGTATAGTTGGCTCGTTACTTACACCAATTTAAACGCATGTCATGATTTAGTCTGATTCGTTCTATACTTTATTATTTATATTCCTTTTTGTTTTCAAAACGCAAACTCGTGGTGTCGAAGCCCTTGAAGTGCATTTCAAAACACAAACACGACGAAAAGAAGCTTATAATCTTTCATATCCCTAAACACGTGATTTTTAACGTACAAGCCCCACAAGAAAAGACATAAAAATATGAACCAAATCACTTCAATGGGAGACCAACATGCATTCCAAAAGAAGAACATGTTAGGTCAAAAGACATCAGACCAAAAAGATGTTAACTCGTATATAATATTTCCCTATCCCGAAGGAATCTCAAGCATTTTGTGTTATTTAAAAAAAAAAAAAAAAAAAAAAAAAAAAAAAAAAAAAAAAAAAAAAAAAAAAAAA